CGCCCTCAATGGCGCCCATGCATCCAAGCTATTGCCTTCAATGCATAGCTCTTTTTCCAACCCCCCACTTGACAGCCCACTGTACCTATCCCCCCCCCAAAAAAAAACCTCGGTGAACGAAACTGCGGCAGCTACAACCACTGTACGACGAGTACGCGGTTACTACAGCTGACAATGATGTGATGATGACCTTGTGAGATGTGCTTTAAGGATTTCTGTGGCTGCGGTAATTCTTGTGAAATATCCCGAGAGGCATGCCAAAATTCGTAAGGAGATTTCGCTGTATTTCTCACAACTTTCATCTTCTCAGTAAGCAATATCAGTAAGCTATATCTTGTGTATGTAATGTATGCATATCCTGTGTATATGTAAAATAATAATCCCATTACTAATTCTCTCCTACAGTAGATCTGTGGAGCTTCCATCCTCCGGACATTCTCCATTCCCGGAATATGTGCGTAATGTTGATGAGACTAATTAAGTAAAGAGTAGGTGTTAAATTACATCTGGCATATTTAGAACAGGTTTACTTACTTGTTGTGAGTAGCAAGCTTCCTGAGCTACCTGGTAGTGTCTTTTTATTTCTTCTTCCTCATCTTCATAATAAGGAATCTTTTCATCACCAAGAACACTCATCACTTAAATGCAAACTGCTTATCATTATTACATATGGTAAACATTTCTTCCAGATGTCAGAAGCTCACCTGCTTGCAAGAGAGAAATTCACTTACAGCTTCTAAATCATATTCGTTTTTCGTCGCCTACACTACACCGCCGAGGCTACTCGATGCAAGTGGAATTAAATTAATAAACGCCCAAGGTCGTTAAGATAACGACTATGCATGATTTGTCTGTTCTAAGTAGAATCTTAGCACTTAGTACGGTCATATAATATGCCCTATGTGGATTATATATAATAGATATCTGGGAAGTTGTCACGCCATACTATTACTTAGCTGCATAACCTGAACGCAAAACTAAATCATGTTGGGGTTATCTGCGAACGAGCCAACACCTTCACATAGTAATGACTGCAAAGGTTTTTCTTCTTCAATATGAATCCAGTCACAGAGCATTCCTAAAAAGCTTCCTTTTTCGGGAAAACGACCGACATTCTGTCTGAGTTTGCGCCTGTATTATGAGAAGTTTTTTTCTAATGCTTGGGACCACCAGGCTTTCTGAGAAGTTGACATGTTCTAATCACACACAAAGGTGGGATTAGCATATTTATTATGGTGCACAAATAGAGAACAGATGACGGATCAGAAGACTAATGGAAGTCCTCTGTATATTGAGAGGAAAGAACTTGATCCGTATTACGACTTGGAAAAAGCAAACAAATGTAAGGTAAAAGTATACTGGTCCACCTTTCCAACAGCCGTACGCCCAGGCCTCAGTTGGGAAGGACGGTATAACATGAGAGGGCGTTAAGAAAAGGAAATGTCGTACTTCGGTATTTGTGATAAGGTGTGGAAGGCGGTATGGTAAAGGTCGAGGAACCATTTACCTCTAAGCTGGCACATAACTGCCAAGCAATTTCATCTTTCGCTGTGTCTTGTCAAAGGATATATATATAATAAACAAGCGAATACGGACGTAACACACCTGGTGAACTGCATACCGATGATGTAACCACTGGCGATAGTTTAGTTACTTAAGGTACCATCACTGTATTCAAACAAATATCAAGTTACCAATGCATCTATATGTGCGTTCCGGGGATCGGAGTTACTCCCAGTCGACGGAAAATGGGCCAGATACACTGATACGTGGGTAAACTACAGCCCGGAAATTCACACCTTAAATTTACTCCTCATTTGTTTGGTCGCTTCGTGGGAGAATATCACAAACTTCATGTCGGAACAGGCTATCTTCCAAGACTGTATCTGTTGAAATCCTGCTCTACAAACTCCCGCGCGAACGATTTATTCAAACCACGAAAGTGCTAACAAACAATTGCTATTTTCATCCTTGCAATCACTTTTTCCAACTGCAAGACTGCGGTTACACCATGTTGAATCAAACTCTTTCACTTATCACCTGAATTGGACTTGAAAGCTAACTTTTCTGCATTATTCATTTTTCGCCCAATGCGCTGCTCCTTTTCACACGGAATCATACATGTGGGAAATTTCTGCATGTCCCTCGGTGACCATCTTTGCTAGGCTGTGTTTTCCCTTTGTCTGGTCAACCGTTCTGTGTAAAATCGAATCGGGTAATTTATGAGTGTGCAAGACATTATTCTCTATTGGATTCGTTTGCAATCACACAAAGTGACAAATCTATCTGATAAATCACTGGGCGTCTCATTTGGTGACCCATCACTGAGAAACCACAAGAAGGGTCACAACTGCATGCGGTATTTAAACTTGTAACAATGTATTCTATCCCACGTTACTACCCCCACTTCATCAATCATCCATGTAATGGCCCTCCCTGTGATTTATGCACCAAGGCTCTGCATGACGTTCACGTTTTTTTAAGCTACTGGACTGCCGAAGAACGTCACCTGATAGAAGCGGTTATCTCAGAGGGTGGACACTTTAGAGAATCTGGTTGTCTTCAAATTGTAAACGTCTAGACAGGGGGTTCGCAGTGGACAGAAAACTAGATTGTTCCAGCAAATTCTCTTATTACTAATATGGCAATGGGACAAGGTCGATAAGCAGACGGTGAATCCAGGATAAAGGTTCGATTAAGAGGGATTTTCAGTACATCGTCCAACACTTTGGTGATTGTTATATCTGCTGATTTGCCATTCTGTGTTATCTGCTGCTGATCCGCTCCAGTGCCTAGTGTCGGAGAGAAAAGACTCACAGAAGGGAACACAACAGCTGTATTCCGAACAAGCGAGTGAGTGAGAGAGCAAAAGTTACAACGGCCCCACGCTATTTAAAGGGGAATTTCTGACTTTGATCCAGGCCGTCTGATAGGCGTTAGTGAACTCCCACCAACATCGATCGTGCCTTTGTGAAAAGCCTGAACGCTGATCACATTCGGTCGTGCTTCTGTAGCCACAAGAACACTCATCAGGTTTTGCTGAATTGATTGAATGATTGACTGGCCTGGATGCTTGCCGTCTTTCCAGTTGAGTTTTTGGTGGAGCAGTAGGTTCCGGGCGTTCTGAAGTTGCTTTCAGGAATCTGACCTTCCTGATAGTGATCAACTGAGTGCAGATCACCGTGTTAGAGTTCAAACAACCTCCCAGCTACGGCTGGTTTCAGAACTGGTCGGAGTTCATGAAGCAAGTTAGAAAAGCCTGTCAAGGCTAAAAAGTATTCGTTGTAGGTCGCTGCGTGAACGTATAAGCTTACTTTAAAACACAATACTGTTGTATCAATCGCTGAGAAATAATTTAGCGCAATTTGCTGAAGACGAACCGTTTATTCTTTGCAATAAATGAAAAATCGACTCTATTTTATAGCAACTGAATCTATCCCGATTTTAACAAGCCTAGTAGAGTCTCGTTTGTTTTGTTTTGTCATTTAACCAAACCAGGAATGACAACTTCAACACAAACGTTTTCAACAAGTGATTGGTTTCCAATAGTTGGTTGCTACTTACGCCATAATCAGGATGTCAACTGCAACCCAGGACAGACTCAAGGACTAGAGATTTGAGTGAGAGTACATAAAACTCACCTCCATTTTCTTTTTCAGTTCCGCGATTGCTTCACCCGCTTCATCAATACATGGCAATGCGTAGAATTCCCCTTCCTCTTGATTGAGCAGTTTGAACCAAGTAGATACCGGCTCATTCATCACTTCACTCACGCCGAAAGAGAAAGAGCCCATAAAATCGTTGCGTGAGGTCCGATCCCAGTCCCATACTTCAATGGATAAACGCTTTGATAAATCCTCGTTAGTTATCCCTCTGTTGGCAGGGTATGCGATAACGGATTTATAGCGAACGGCTAATTCCATGACACATAACATAATGCCGAGGGACATTATCACAAACAGAGTAAGTGGGCTTTATAACGAACCACCCGCATTTCGTGAAACGAAGTAAAGTTAGGCAACAACACAAGATTTACAAAACTCAAAAGCCACCCTTCTCAATGCGTGCTAGTGGTATTTGTTGTGTGCAAGCCATTGTCCGTGCAAGCAGTTTGTTCTGTGATCATTTACCCTCTGGTACCAACGCTTTTCCTCTACTGGGTGAGGATGTACTTCCCAAGATAATTACCATAATCAGCCACATCTGTCTGCAGTCGAAGAATTTTATATGCCCGTACAATCTAATGCTGTTTCTGTTGAGAAAATCCGCCGCTGATTGCTGTTATTGAAGATCATTGGGTGGAGACACTAAAATGAACGTAGCCTTCGGGAGCAAATGTGAGGGATGCCCAGTCAAGACCACTTCATCAAAATCGTTTTGCCAAAGTGTCTGCTGGGATTTTGAAATCGCACACTGGTCACACTAACCACACAACCGGTGTTAAGCGTAAACATGTTCAAGATTCTCTCCTCACGTGTATTCGAAATTTTGTGAATGCCTACCTGCCTGAATGACTGCTCACTCGTGTAAAACAACCTCCTAATTTCGAGTGAAGCATGTGTCCCGCTGGTAAACCACCTAAGGGCTTTAACCATCACCTAGGGGGTGTCATTCACAACAACAAATATGGACCACTAATATGAGCCCCTAATATGGATTTCTGAAAAAAGCTCACACCAGCCATCATCCGTTCGTTTTCCCATAGGGTCCTCCATATGTGGGAAAAGCGTGACAACCTCCTGAGAAGTTTTCTCACAAGTTTTCTCACAAGACAGCAGTGGTACCCGTAGAAAAATTCAGCATAAAACACAGGTTCGAGAGACGAGGTAGCAATTTAAATGAATTTGGAGCACAAGCCAGCATACCGATGACCAAAAACTACCAAAACCTGGTTAAATTGGCGAGATAAATCCAAATTCAAAACCAGCACCCTATCAAATTTATACCACAAAAACGGAATATAGGCTAGTGTATTCATTTCATGTGCTACACCTTCGGCTGTTTGAGTGGGATATCATCAATTATACAGCATTTCGTTAGAGTAGAATGTCTTTGGTCATTTATCCTTCCCAATGGGAATGTCCTGAAAACTCAGCGCAAGCCATGATGCATCGTAGTAAATAATGTCAAGTAACTGGCATGCAGCATTTTGAAACGTGTGCACTAGTAAACAGTAGAAAGCTCAAACCTGTAGCGAAAAACGATCGATGACAAGTTGCATTCGTCTTTGATCACTGTCGGAACGAACACGTCTGAGCATCTTACCAGAGTAGCGCGCAATGAGTGAAACAGAATAAGGTGATGGCGTTATCACCATTGCTGTCGCTTATATGTCACTTTCTGAATGGCTCAAATAAACGAGATTTGCACGGGTTGGATTCCTTTCGCAAAGTGTGTGAACATCGAATTCAGATTAGTAATCATCAACGGCTATAACGATTTCAGGTGAAGCTTCGAAAAAAACTGGAGCCACATGAATCAGGAGGACGTTAGTAAACACTATTCATACCACCAAATAAATTGGGCAGATCTCTATGAAGACATGGACTGAAGACTGAATGAAAACTGAGACATTCAGCATGAGTTGCCCTATATGCGCACAGGTTATTGTTGCTAAACACATCCTTCCTGAAGGCTATCACATGTTTTGTGCACAAAGAGTCGGAACATTCTCCAGAAACGACGAAAAAAGCACACTATTTAATGCTGGCCTCGCTTTTGACAGAGTACTGCTTCAAATTTATTTTCCAAATTTTAGTTGGAAGCATAAGAGTCTCATAAAAATCTCCGGTGTTGACAACGTGGGCTAAAACAGCGCAGGCATAGTTGATCCGGCTTATTCAGTCGTAAAATCAGTAAGATTTGCCTCACATGAAAATCTAACGCAAATCAGTCTGTATCGTAATGTACTTGATATGTCACGTCCCTTAAGCCCTTCATATATCATCCCAAAGTTTAATTTTACCAGTTATTGTGAGAAACAGCCCATCATTTAGTGCTTGTAAAGATTTCTTCTGTTCCAAGAATAGATTACACATCAACAGCAAACAAGAGCATGAATTATTGGGCGTGTGTTCACTTTTTTTTTCGAGGCACCAACGCTCCAAATGTGGTCCGCGCTGACCTTCCAAACACATACCAGCTTTTCAACAAAAACCTGGTTGACAGTCGGCCAAATCCTTTCATCCCTCTTATAAACGTTGAAGACTAGAAAAATAAATTAGCGGGCAGATGGGCGTACATTCGTGTTCGGAGTAAAGCTATTAGATAGTATTTCCATGGCCTATAAACACAAGGCGCCAAAGTGCTATCTAAATTATACAGGTTTTCAAATTGCAAACTAAGACTCTTCAAAATGAATTATTTAGCAACTGGAATAATGTTTCATAAGAATAGACTTTTGACAAATAGTGACAGAACACCCACAATGAACACGTAAACGTACAAATTGACAGATGACAACCATTTGTAACTTATGGCTGATTGTTGCCTTTGCAAGCACTTTTTAAGTGAAGACCGGATGTAGTAATTAGAAACGGTTTGGGGCAAACACGCAAACAGCACCAGTTCTATTTTAAGCATACTTTTTTTTAGAATTTTTACCAAAACATTTTGAACGTAATTGGAGAGGGGATTACGCACTCACAAGGCCTATTACCTAGCAGCATGACACAGGCAACAAACGTAACAGTGTGGATTTGCGCTACTTCGATATCTCGAAATTGATGAATGCGGTAAAAGGTTTTCTATAAAAGGGGGAAAGATGGCTTATTGGTTAGAGCGGGAATTTACTGGTCAGAATGTCCGTGGTTCGAACCTGACTTCTGACTGTCGACTTCCCCTGTCTAGGCTTGAGCGACCTAGCATTGTCCCAGGTATCGTGCTTCCTCCTGGTAGCACGGCAGTTAGGCATGTCTAGACATTACCACTGGACCAAACACCTTCACCTTTCCGGCATAACTGAATGAAAAGCGACCGAAGTTCAGACGGTCCAACGCTACAGCGTCGGTGACCATGATGGCCACTGAAGGCAAACGACTGAATTTAGGGAGCTGGCCGCGGCTACACCGGCTAAGGCTGAACTTACTGAAGCGGTGATCTCTCCCGGTAGGAACGGCCTTTTCATTATCGTTAGCAATCATACCGTTCATACGCCTGTCAATCTGAAGGTCTTATCAAATTCATATCGCATGAAGTGAAAACTGGCATGATCAGTAAGAATTTATTTGACGTGGGTGTCTTGGTTGGTAAAACGGTCACGAGATTTCCCGTACTGTCTTCTCATATCGTTTGAGGAAATCAGCCACGTCGTACACAATGCCGCCGACATCTGTCATCCCACCATAGTTCTTGGAGCATAGTCGACAGTTTCGTGAACAGTTTTAACAGCCTTTGAGATTGGAAGGCCAGCATGTCAAGTCTGAAATCTAAGATCCCATGCTTTATCCCTCCTGCCGACCAGAAACGTATATAGGATACACGGTGAGTTCGATTGGTGAAAGCTAACAGGACCGGCGTGAATGTACCCTGCCTATGATCATCTGTGGCGCGGAAAGGTGCAAATCCTCTGGTTGAGTCTTCTGTCAAAACCAAACTAGTTTACAAATGAGAGCATTTGAGAAAACTCTGCCCCTGTTGATAATGCACATGCATACCTAATCTAAGAAACCACGCGTGATAATCCGGTGGAAAGGAAGAGAAAGAATGACTTGGTCTACAGGGGCCACCAAAGCGTTTCCAAATATTATATTCTTCCCGATTTTAAGGTCAAGTATGAGTAGTTTCGTGTTTTCTTTTTTGCTGTCAGTGATGTACCCAATAGAGGTGTACAAGGTGGTTAATCCTGAAACCGATTTGCTAAGCACCTCGGCTCACTCCGTATTCATCTGATATGTGTCAGGATTGATGTATTGGTTAAGAGCTTCGGAAATTAAGGACGAACCATGTGCAGCGGAAATCGCTTTGCTCTTTATTGGTATATTTGACACTGATCATTAATGAGGGTAGGGTCGAAATAACGGATCAACCATTGGAGAAACCTCAATGACAAAAGATCAGATAAAGTCGATTCTTTTGTTGTGTATACCGGTCAGCTGAGCAGAATCCGCTTTTGAAGCTGAAAGATATGTGCGCAGCACTTTAATCGCACAAGACTCACCCATCTGGCTACAAATAGGGTAGAAAATTGACAAACCTCCGCGCATTCAGAACATTCTTCTGCGGAACCTCCATTAAAACGAACCTTGAGCTACATAGCGCAGGTTTCGCCAAGAAGTACGATGACGATTTTGGGAGGTTTGCTGTAATTTAAGGCAAGATTTTGTAAAATCGAGTCCATCATACCTTCTCTACACTTGGCTGGCAACATTGCAGGGTAGGGCCGACTGTTGATGTATACGACAGTCTTTACGGGCAATCTTCTTCGGAATTATGAATGCTTCAATCTGTGTTGTGGTCTGCCACAAGGCTACTTTCTTGTGGAATGCGTATTTTGCATGAAAAATACATGACATTGTGAGTTAATCATAATGATCGCAGACCAGGTAACAACTACTCCTTTATAGGTAGAACAGCAATTCGCAGTTGTGCTGGAGGCGTCCGTTTGAAACTATGGTAGGAAAACTAGACTGCAAATTGGGTTCTATTAATCAGAATACTGACCGAAAAATGGACAACAGTACGCATTGTTCAAATTCTTCCCAAACTAGCCTATGAGAATACCCTTTTGTAAGGCAGGTGTAGTTATGCGAATGATACTAGCTCTCGAATTTCCGACTGGTTTCCGACTGAGTGAATAACTACCACATTTTGGTGGCAGTCGTATGGCGTCTCATTTACTCGGCAGGTTTTTCCGCATGCGAGAAGAGAATCAC